ATAAAATATTTAAGGGTCGGTGGATGCCGGTGGAGACTATTTTGTGATTCCCTTTTCAAATTCCCAACATAAAATGAGTGAAAAATGAATAAATCAATTAGAACATTGATTCTTTTTCCTGAATTAACTTAAGGAAGTTATTTCTTGTGTTTACAAAAGTAATTTTAAGTTAACATTTCATTTTCATTTAAATAATTCACTGTTTGTTAATAAAATAATAAATAGCATCCAAATTTGCTGTCAAGCATAAACTGAAAAAAACATATATAAAATGAATTTAAAAAAAAAATTTTTTTTATTCAACTGTCCTAAAGTAGACAATACTAAAATGTCAATAGTAATTGTATTTATTATTGCATATTACTAAAATTATTAACTTTTTTTTCTAAACTTCCTATAGGGACAGGTAAAAATTTGACGTTTTCAGCCTTAAAACCGCTTATTTATGAAAAATTATAATATTAGATACAAAAGTAATTATTGGTTTTTGTTTCTAAACATATAGATAACCTTTTTACGTTGGAATTGTAAAAATATATGAAAGTTATTTATTATTTTTCCATTACAACATGAAAAAAACCAAGTTCTGCGCTACGCGGAGAATCACCCATATATATTTTTCCATATGTATACATATTTTTCTTCTATAAATTTATGCAGGCACAAAAACAAAGTTTTATAAATAAAATAATATAATCAGTACCTATATAAAACTTTTACTTGGCAATAAATAAAACATTTTAATTTGCCTTTATAATCTTTATTATTTTAATTTCATGTAAAATATAACTTTAAATAATTTCAATAATTGAAAGATCAGTGTCATTTTTTTAACTACAAATTAATTAATACGATCAAAAAAAAATCACAAATGCACTCAGAAAATTACTTGATTAATATAGCATTTGTAATATTCCTTGTTTGAATTTAAACAATAACATAATGATTACTTTTATCACCCAGAAAAAAGATATATTTGGTTCAGAACCAACTAGACTTTTTATTTGTTTTAAATCAATTTTATTTGGTTTAGATAAAATTTTATTTGGCTTTAATATATGTTTTATTTATGTAGAATAAAATTTTTACTTAATAAAATAAGAAGGTCTAGTTGTTTTAGTTAAGACTTTTGCTATTCTAGAGAAACTTATTGCTCTTCCAGATAACATTTTTTTGTCTTGTAGTAGACAAACAATATGACAGTGTTCATCATTTTGATTGCTCCATAAATAATGATTATCTAATATTTATTTCTAAAAGTTGTTCCTTCATGCAGAATTTCGCATTGAAAATATTATTTTTGAAATATCTTGACGAAGCTTTAAGAGTATCCTGTCTGCACTTTTTAATTATATTATATAAAGAATAATTTAATTGAAATTAAAAGTCTATTATAAAAATGGTTTCTGTGTTAAAAAACAACCTAATATTGTGGATTTTCATAAATAATTTAATTATTAGTTTAGTTTACTATTCTTTCTTTTTCCAATTTCTGAAAGTAATAGAACATGTAAATCCTTATTTCAGTGTTGGCTCATGACGTGTATAGGTTAGGTTTACTTGTGTATAGGTGTACTTGTGTATATAGGTTAAATCACATGATAGGTTCAAGTGCGTAATCGGGAAATTTATGTACCCTTATGATACATATAATTTTTACTTTATTGTTTTTAATTATTGACAATTAATAACTTTTATCTTTTTTTGACTATTTTGTTAAAAGTAAATGTATGTAATAAAGTTTTCATAGATTTTAAAACGAATTTATAAATAATGTTTAAGTAAGAAATTTCCTATGGGCTCCTAGAGTTTTACATTCAGTCCTGACAGTATAGTTGCGTGGTGGGGCTTTCATTTTACCCAACTTTTGGACAAACTGTGACACACGCAGGTAAATATCTACCAAAGTACAGCATAAAGTATTACAAATAGTAAATCAGTTTATGATCAAATGCATACCAAAGTTTAATCTAATGTCTGTTTTAATCTTTAAATTACTTTTTGAACATGCTTTGGAAAATGCATTTTAATAACCATACAGGAGAATTTTAAACATTATTAAAATGCCTATGTGTAGCCATTTTAACCAACTTTTGACTAAACTTTATACAAAATATTTTCTCAGTGTAGGATCATGCAAGTATTCCTGTCTAGGAACCTTTACATGAAACATTGATAGCTAATATGTTCCTGTACTGGAACCTGATGGGATCCTTGTTCCAACATCCTGCAACGGATCCTATGTAGGATACTGTAAAGGACCAGTGAAGAATCCTTCAGGATTCCTGTAGAGGAACCTTAAAGGATACAGTAAAAGATTTTTCAGCTGGGCAGCGACCTCAAAAACACCCGAGTAACGAATTGAACCTAGTAATAAGGGGTGAATTAAAGTGGATTGGCACTTTTATGCTCTTAAATTCCAAACCAATTCCGTTTTTGTCCGCAATCTTAATGAATTCCTTTTCTATTGTTAAATTGATCATTTCTATCCAATACAATTCTCTGTAACTACGTGACCAGAATTTGAAACCCCTTTAATGCCCTTTAAAGAATTCAATGTTAATTAAAAGGCATTAACTCCACAACAAATGATTCCCTTAAACGGCATTAAAGTAAATTCAGACTCTGGTCACGTGGTTACAGAGAATTGAATTGGATAGAAATTATCAATTTAACAATAGAAAAGGAATTCATTAAGATTGCGGACAAAAACGGAATTGGTTTGGAATTTAAGGGCATAAAAGTACCAATCCACTTTAATTCACCCCTTATTACTGGGAATGTAAATCCAAACAATTTTTTAAAAAAATCATCCGTCATGTTTGATCCGCCACTTCGAATTTTGAAAAATTTGCAAAATTGACATCGGATTCGTAAGGGGCCGTCCATAAATCACGTGGACAATTTTTCACCAATTTTTGACACCCCCCCCCCGCCCCCCGTTGTGGACAGTCGTGGACATTTGTGAAACCCCCTCCCCCCTATACAATTGTCCGCGTGGATATTGCAAATTAAAAAAATAAGTTTTTTTTACTCCTGTATGTTAAAAAATAAAAAAGATTATTTTTGAACATATTTCAAAGCAAGAATGTCAGTAAAGTCAGGGAAATGTCAGGAAAAAATTTTTTGTCAGGGAAATTAAGAAAATTGCGACAAAATACCACAATTTTTAGTAAAAAAAAAGTACAAGTTATTTTGATTTTTATAATGTGAAAAATAACTGTAAACAAATCTTTTTGAATAGTTGAAATTTTGTAAAATTTAATTGAAAATAATTAATTTATTTCAAGTCTTTTGTTACAATTTTTGTAGAATAAAAAATCTTTAAAGGTAAATTAAAAAATGAAAATTAATGAAAATTAGCTTCTAATTTTTTAAAATTCAATATTCTCAATTACATATTTTCAAAAATTCAAATATATACAAAAAAATAACATTTTAAAATTATTTTTAACATTTTAGAGGAAACAATCATGTTAAACATTTTTAATTAAAATTTATCAATCAAATTCAAAAATAATTTTAAAATATAACAGAATTTTAGAAGAACTTTCGGAAAATTATTTAAATTAATTGATTCAGAGGCGAAGGTTTAGTTGCCCAGTAAAAAAAAGTATTGGAAGAGAGCGAATAGTATTGGCGATGAGTTTCTGCCAATACGTTTTCGCGTGAAAACCGTATTGGCAGAAACTCACCGACAGTACAAACGTGGACTTTTGATTCACCCCCCCCCCCCAAATGTGTCCACGTGGTTTATGGACGGCCCCTAATCAGTGACATCAAAAACCCTTAACTACAGGGGTTAATAAAATTTTTGTTACTTTAAAAATGCGATCCCATGTGAGCAGAAAGCCTAAACCGAAAGCAGAATTTCATGAGTGCAAGAGAGATAGTCGGATAATACTATCTCTCTTGCACTTATGATTTTTCTGCTAATAGTTTAAAATCATGTTACTTATTATAAAACGCCATTGGGTTAACAAAACATCAACTGTTTCACCACCAATTATAAAGTTTAAAAATGTGCAAATAAAGCCTTAAATAATTAAGGGATTTTGTAACTTTTTTAGCCCTAAAATCGGAAGTTATTAAACAAATTTTTGCTTAGATGTTTTAAAATGTAATTTATTAAAAGTTTTTACATGACATTATGTAGGTTAATGGAGCATTCAGACCTCTGCAGCCTGCCTGTAGGTCAGTGAATTCAAATTTCATGTACTTTCTCTCTTACTCTTGTTGCTCCTCCCTGCAGTGCGCAGGCAGGCAGCCTGCAGAGGTCTGAATGCTCTTTAAGAAGTCTTAAAAAAATAACTTCAGATTTGAAAAAATATAGGTATCTTCCTGCTACAGTGGGCGCTTTTTTCACTGGTAAAAATTACTTTCAATTACGGTTGTCATTGTAGTTCATCGCAGAACATTTAAAATAAAAAAATTAAATATCATTTCAAAACATATGACTTAATACAGGTCCTACTAAACTTTGAAATACTCATAAATCTGAAAAATACAATTTTTTTTAAACATAATTTACAAAAAATATAAGTTTAAATATTAGTAGTAAATCAGAGGTTTAGGACCTGTATGAAGTCGTCTATTTTGACATGATATTTGATTTTTTTATTTGAGATGATTCTGCGAACGAGCTACAATGACAACAAGTACTTTTTACAAGTGGATAAAGGGCGCTCTGTAAAAGGAAGAAACTTATATTTTTTTTAAATCTGAAATTCTTTTTTTAAGCCTTCTTAACATACACAATGACATGTAAAAACTTTCAATCAATTTTATTTTTTTAAACTTTTGAGCAAAATTTTTTTTAAAAACTTCCGACTTTAGGGCCTAAAAAAGTTACGAAATCCCTTAAATATTACCGATTTCGAAAAATATCAACGGCGTCACTTCTTTTTTTTAAATTATTAAAATGAAAATTATAATTGTCAATTTAGAAGATGATACTTTTAACAAAACTAAAATATTACAATGTAAAGAAAAGAACATACCACTCCTAGCTTCTCTGATGATCGAGCTTTCCAAACTCGGATATTCATTTCGTCACTTCCACTTAATATGTACTTATTGTCAAGTGACCAAGCAATATTTGAAATCCTCTGCATACGTTTTGTATGATACACTTCTCGCGATCGACCTTTATTTACTTCAAAAATGCGAATTGACTTATCATAACTGCCTGAAACAAATTCTTTTCCAGTTGGACTGTAATCAACATCCATGACAGCTTCAACATGATCCATATGTACATTTACTGGTGTTTTTAAATTTCTCATATCAAATGTATACAAGCTGAAAAGAAATTTTATATGTTAGTATGTATACGCAGTATCTACCTATTAGGGAGAACTGGCAAAGTAGGCTTGAGCTCAAGTTTGTGCAATGACGCGTCACTTGAGGTTTTTGAAGTAAAATACATATTTTACCTCCATCCCCAACAAATACATTATGTATAAAACTTTTAAATTAAAATACCAGATATTTTACTGTAAAAAACCTGGTAATTTACCTGAGGTCACAGGTGGCTGGAAGAACAAAAAGTTAACCAACGTTGCCCCTTTAACTGCTTGGTATCAGGTGATTTCTTAGCTTCCCCTGAGTCGAGAATAACTTGCTCCAAAATCGTAGCTGTTCATTTGCGGGAGAATTGACCTTTTAAGGGGGTTGATTCGCGAAGTTATTAAAAAATAACACACCTCCACAAAAAAGTATTATGTACTTTTGGTCGGAATACTCTACCGCCTTGTATTTTCGTGCTCTGAAAACGAATCTGATGTCTGTTTTGCTCCATCACGTCAGGATTTTTCCTACCCTCAAAAAATATGTCAACTTTTTGGAGATATAAGAATTTTTTAGAAATTGATGTACGAATCTGATGTCTGTTTTGCTCCATCACGTCAGGATTTTTCCTACCCTCAAAAAATATGTCAACTTTTTGGAGATATAAGTGGGTATTTCGAGAATTTCGAGGACGCTGATTACTAATTTGAAGTAAGATTTTGAAAATTGTAAATAGCGAACCGAATATGGCGGATACTTACATAAGACTAAAAGTCAAACTAAATAACAAGGTATTGGATGGTCCACAAATTCAAAAAATAGTAAAAAATAAGATATTTCATTCGTTTATTTATACACTCGTCTTTTTCCTTAATACCAGGGTTACAAGTGCCCCAGTGGAAATTTTTCTTACAAATAATACCTTAAATCTGTAAATATAATTTATTGAATAAAAATAATACATTTTCAATAATACACTTGTTTATGACCAAAAATTGGGTATTACAAGCGGGGTATCGCAGTTTATATAAACAATATTGAATTTAATTCTTTCAATTAAGCAAGGACCTCATCTTAAACAATTTTTGTTTTACATTCACTGAGGATTTGCGAAATTAATCTAACATAAGTTTTTATAGAATTTATATCAGTCGAAGATAATATCTTTAATCCTTCCTCTACCAAATCCGATAAGCAAGAGATATGTGGGAAATTTCTCTCACACACATGCAAACAAGCCAGACATCGAAGTAAAAAATGAAACAGACTCTCCTCTTCCAAGCCGCAGTATGGGCAATTAATACCATTTCGAAAAGTATAAGAAAAAGAGCCACAATTTATTCTGACAATATATTTATTTAAAAGACGCGATTGTTTAAATATTCTTTTGTAAAATAATGAGAGGCTAGAGAGCAAGTACGGCTGAGGGCCCTCATGAAGAGGTAAATTTGAAAAAACAACAAACTAGTCGAAAGTGATTGGCGGTTTTTATCAGAAGAGATGCTGTTAATCTTGCAACTCTCCAAGATAGGTCAATTGACTTTCAATTGAGTCCAGGGTTAGGTCCCGCCAAAAATCGATCATGCCTTGTGGCTCAAAAAAAGAAGCTCTCAACTGAGTGAACCAATTAAACCGATACTCCGGAGACGACATCGACAGAGCTCTCAGTCTTTCGAAACACATTCTGGGGTATCTTGAACTGTCCATGTGAGAGATCCTTAAGATCCAGTTCAGAATGTATTTCAATACCTTAAGCTCAAGTCGAAGCGCTCCTGTCTCAAGTCTAACCGACCAATCAGGTGTGTTCATTGGCAAATATAAAAGTCTCTTTAAAAAAGAAGTTTGAACTTTTTTTATTGAATCGATATGGCAAGTTCCTCAAACCTGGACCCCATAAAAAAGAGCAGTCACCGCCAATCCCTCGAAAAGCTTGGTGTATGATTTCCAGGATACCTTCCCCATAGAGAACACAATGCGCAGAATACTGCGCCACACTGATTGCCCTAGCAGCAGGCTGGGAAAAAGAGCCTGAACAAACGAAAAGTATCCCTAGATATTCGTAGCTTTTAACAACTTCAATAAGACTCAAACCAAATAGTCAGCTTATTCACTTCACAATATTCGTACTGCAGCCCTTATTTATAAAAAATTTATCAATGTCCGAAATTAACAAAAGAAACAGATAAGGACTCAAAACTTCTCCCGGTAAAACCCCCTGTAAGACGTCTACGAAATTAGTATCACCCTCGGAGGTTCTAATACAGGTAGAAGCAACCAAGTGGAAATTCCGCAAGATATTTATCATCTTGGTACTCATACCTAGCCAGTGCAATTTCTCCCACAATAAATTATGCGAAACAGATGGGAAAGCACCCTTGAAATCGACAAACAAGGCATATTTTATACCGCGGCTCCTGGATTCCTTAAATGAATCTGAATCAAGGACTGCAGGGTGAAATGATTATCGAGGCAACTTCTCCCTCTTCTAAAACCTGCCTGTGATTCAGGGAACAAGTCCAAATCTGAGGCCCATTTAATTAAACGAGTGCCAAGAATCTGCGTAAAAATTTTCAAAATGAGCAATTCCATGTGAAGTGATCGACGATTTTTGGACATTGTTAGCAATTTTCTTGAAACTTTTTTTCCTTGTAGCTATAAGGATAAGATATGATAAAGTGAAGGCGATTTTGAAAATTTCGAAAAAATTTTGAAAATATTCAAATTTAAAAATTTATGTACTAATTTTTTAAAATTAAGATAACTCCAGTTGTTTTCAATATTTTTTCAAAATTTTTTTTTCAATTTCTCAGTATAACTAGTACTTTTTAAATAAATTTTTTAGAAACAAAAATTTTTAGAAATTATTAAAAATTTTTTTTTTAATTTTTTGAAAAACACCCCCCCTCCGATTTTTTTTATTTTTTTTATAATGATAGCCAAAAGTAATAAGAAAATTTTCGTAAAAGTTTTATAATGGGATCGCGATAACTTTTCGAGAAATCAACGAAAAAGTCTATGGCGCCCCGTTGAGACTGACGCGCTCACGTACGTATGTCCAAGAAGTTGGCAACGCCATTTCATTTTTTCTCAACAAAATTTTGATAAAACTAAAAAACGAAAATTGTGCTACACTTGAAAACGATAACAAATATTGTGCTGAAAAAAATTAAAATATTTTTTAAAAATTAAAAAAAATTTCTTATTATACTTCAATTTTTTTGAACATTTTTCCAAAAATCAAAATTTTGAAAAAATAAATTTTGTGCTGAATTGTTCTCAGCGAGGACAATAAAAAAAGTGTATAACAGTTTTTGAAAAAGTTAATAATTATTCAAGAAAATCATATTTTTTGAGACTAAAATTTTTTGAATATTTTTCAAAAATCATAATTTTGAAAAAATAAATTTTGTGCTGAATTGTGCTCGGCGAGCACAATAAAAAAGTCTAAAAAACAATTTTACAACAGTTTTACAACAGCTCTATCTCATTCATTGCAATGAATAGAATTGTTTTAATTAAATTACTATTTTAGCTATATGTGATTTTAATATTATGTACCTGAGGCATTATTCCTGAACTGCCCCAAAAATAAAAAAAAGTTCTTGGATTTCCTTTATACTTTGGAAATATGTTACCCTAGTAGGTACAAGTTACTACACCAATTTACAGGTCCAACCCCCCACCCCAATCAAAAGGGTGGGGGGTTGAAATTTCAGCTTCAACTCGAACATGCATTCTTTAAACATTTGTAGTTTCTACTTAAATTATTCAATTAAAAAAAGTAAGTAGTGTTTTAGAAATGTTTTTTTGTGTACTTTTAAAATATTTTATTTATATAATAAAAAAAAAATTTTTTTGCAATTTTGTGCAAGTTCGGTAGTTTTTATTTTCTTTTTAATAATCTCAAATGAAAGCTTGGAAATTCCCCTAAAAGAAGATATAAGTCTGAAAATGGGCCGAAACAATTTGCCAAATATATAGTGTAATAAGTAAAATTTGTCCGTCCGCTCGCGCACTCCAGCGCGATGAACAGTGGGATTTTTTTTCAACTTACTATTGAAAATTGTCTAGAAACTACAAATTTTATCGGATGTTGATGTTCTTGATTTAAAATTACTAAGAGATCCATCAAAGTCGATTTTTGAATTTTTAATTGTTTATTTTTTTCTTGTTACTCAAAAATTTGACAAATTACAATATTTTTAGAAAAAATCATGTTAGTTTTTTTATTTTTCCATTACACATGATCGAAATCAATTTAAATTAGTCTAGTATGACCACCGGACAATTAATAAAGCATAATACAATTTATTTAAATTGTTGCAAACAATGTTAATTAACAAATAGATTACTTCGGACCTTCTTCATAAAAAAAATTGGTTTTTTGCAGACAAGTTAAAATTTATGTCTAATTTAGTAAAAAACTATTTTACAGTTAAAAATTATCATTAATATTAACAATTATATAAACAATAATCAACTTCCTTTTGTATTTGTAAACATTTTCATCATTTTTCAAACTTTAAATATTTATATCATATGTAGGGTAAATGCACTAGTAGTCGGACACTTAAGGATACAATCTTAAATTATGCTTTCTTTCTTGAAATAACAAATATCTACTGTGTTTATAAGCACATTATCAATTAAATGAGTTCTTCAGGATTAAAAATCGTGTAAATTTGTTACAAATACTTGAGTATTTAATAAAATATAAACATTTTAATAAAAAATTACGAATGCTTTAGTAGTCGGACACTTTTTCCCCTTGTTTCTATAGTCGGACATCTGTCAGATATTTTGGATTTATAAAGTAAAACAGATAATTTTTTAATTGCTAAATGCTGGAAAATGGAATTAAATCATACTAGAAGTTTTTAATATAATATTTAAATCCTGTAAGTTTTAATATTTATGATTAATTATCAACAAAACTTTGTGCTACTCATTACGCTACTCGAAAATGGTTGTATCTATAGTCGGACACTATGATTTTTAAAACATTAAATAAA